CGATGCAGGGGACGTGGGTTCGTGCCCCGGTCCGGGGGGATCCCGTGTGCCGCGGAGCGGCTGGGCCCGTGAGCCATGGCCACTGAGCCTGCACATCCAGAGCCTGTGCTCCGTGGCGGGAGAGGCCACAGCAGTGAGAGGAGGCCCGCGTACCGCAAAAAAAAAAAAAAAAAAAAAACCACAACCCTGCCCCCCACCCTGCAGCCTGCTCTGCATCATCCCGAATCACTGAGGCCGAGCTTCCTGCGGATCCTCTGTGACTCTGCTTATGTTGCTCTCTGTGGGTTTTTCCCTGCTTTACTAAAGTAATGCATGCACGTTGTAAAAAATATTACACACCACCTCTGATCTTGTCTCCCAGAATCACCACCATGAAGAGTCCGGTAAACCTTTTATCAAGTTTGGATGCACTCACTAACATACATACGTTATTTAATGTAAAACTGATATAGTCGACGCTCAAAAAATATTTCTTGAGTAAGTGGTATGTCTGATTTCTAGGGGAAAACACTCCTAGGACATGAATTCCAGAAATAAGGTACCCAGCTGCTCAAAGTGAGACAGCTTTCAGAAGAATGTGGCTGGAATGTTCCAAGCCTGCCCATTATAAAACCGGAACCCTAGTTATTAAGCTGTGCTTATCAAAATTATCACTATTCAACGCTTCTAGGCCCATCAAAAATATTATGAGACCAAATAACGTTTTGCCTATGAGCCATTCGTGGTAACTTAATGTTTGCTGCCTAGGTGTGTCTTCCAACTTACTCAAAAAAAAGAAATCAACGTTTCTGTTCCTGAGCCCTGCAAGTCTTTTCAGAGCCCAGCACAGTTAGAAGTGATAGCTGGGCATCGCCTGCTTCATTTTAATTAGCCATTCAGAAAATCCCTTCTGCAGCCAGGCCTGGCAAGGAGCACGGCTCCACTGCCAGCCAGGACTGCTTAATTTGTGGAGTAAATAAACCCCAGGTTAAGGCTAATTGTGTCCTTTGCATGAAGTCATCCCAGGGAACCACTCTCCCTTTCAAGGCAGTGAGTAACCAGTGTTCTGTTTTTATCGTTTCCCCTGTAGTTGGCTGGCTTGGAATTTAGAGCAATGTCCCTCTGAACCCTGATTCATGCTGAGTTGTTTGGTACCTCATTTCAAGAATCCACAGTCCAAGGGTGTTTTTTTCCCACTAGAAGCCAAATCCCCCATTTGTTCATTCAAGAAATATCTATTAAGCACCTACTGTGTGCTAGGCAACAACTATCAAATGCCCCTTGTTTTGGTTTGTTTTGTTTTCAGTTAACAGTGAAAACCAACAGTGGTAACGCCCTTACTTTGCACCATGCCCTGTTCCAGTTGCTCTACGTGACTTAACTCACTGCATCTTCACAGTTACCCTAGGAAATAGTTGCTCTTATCATCATTGTTTTACACTTGGGGAATGGGAGGCACAGAGAGGTTCAGTAACCTGCCCAACCTCACACAGCTGGTAAATGGGTGAGGCAGGATTCACGGACACCCTTCCCTGCCCTCTACCTCTTAGCAGAACATCCAGGCATCTCCCCAGGTATCCTGAGTTTACAGAGTCAGTGCTCTTTTTCAAGAATAAATTCTCTAGCCTTTCTGCACTACTCAGGGAGGGGTCCATAAGGCATTGTTCTAGATTCCCATCATTACTTAAAGGGAAATTTCCACAATGGCCGGAGTCCTTGATGTCCTGCAAGTGAAAAAGGAGGATGTCCTCAGATTCTTTGCAGCAGGAACCCAGTTAGGAGACACCAACCTTGACTTCCAAATGGATCGGTCCATCTGCAGAAGGAAAAGTGATAGCATCTACATCGTAAGTCTGAAGAGAACAGGGGAGGAGCTTCTGCCGGCAGCTTGTGCCATGGTTGCCACTGAAAACCCAGCCAATGTCAGTGTCACGTCCTCCAGAAGACTGACCGGTGAGCTGTGCTGAAGTTTGTCGCTGCCGCCGGAGCTACTTCTATTTCTGGCTGTTTCACTCCTGGAAACTTCACTTACCAGATCCAGGCAGCCTTCCAGGCGCCACGACTTCTAGTGGCTACTGATTCCAGCGCTGACCACCAGCCTCTCCCAGAGCCTCTTGTGTTAACCTGCCTACCGTTGCTGTGTGTAGCAGACTCTCCTCTGTGCCGTCCCTACAACAACAAGGGAGCTTCCCCAGCGGGTCTGACACGGTGGATGCTGGCCTGGGATGTCCTGCGCATGAGTGGTACCATCTCCCTTGAGCACCTGGGGAGGTCATGCCTGATCTCTGCTTCTACAGGGATCCAGAAGAGGCTGAAAAGGAAGAGCAGGCCGCTGCTGAAAAGGATGTAACCCTGGAGCAACGTCGGGGTGAATGGATGCTCCAGCTCCCAAGTTCACTGCCACTCAGCCCGAGGTCGCAGACCAGTCTGAAGGCTCACAGATGCCCTCTGTGCCTGGCCGGTGGCTCCCTGCCGAAGACTGCGGAGTTCAGGCCACTGGTTGGGGAGGCACAACCACTGAGTGGTCCGAAGCTGTTCTTCCAAAGACTCTTAAACAGAAAATGGAAATGAGGTTGGTGGAAAATAAAATTTCTTTAAAAAAGAAAAAGAAGACATTCTCTAGCAAGATGGGAACCTTGACAGTACAGAGGAAGGAACACGTGTCAATTTAAAGTGTGGCTTCTGGAAATGAGGGGCCGTGATGGGATAAAGTCACATAGCCCCTTTCTCGTCAGGATAAGAATGTGCTAGAAAAGTGCCCAGCACAGTGAGTAGTCCTTGCTAAACGGCTCTCTGCCCCTACGATTAGATGTTGTCTGCTCCCTTTTACTAGTTGGGGATATTTTATTCCTCTTTAGCCCCTGGTCACCGCCACCCAAGGGAGGGACTGAGAAGAAAGCAGCAGCAACATGTCTGTGTAATAAACCCACTGGCATCTTTCGTGGGAAAGAGGAGGTTATCATTGCAAACAAGTTATTAGAACAATCATATCTCATTCTCCATGTATCTTTTTAATTTATTTTTAATGACCTTCTCAAGATCTCAGAAGTTATGGTGTCAAATACCACGATGTCAAGCTAGTGGTCAAACAAGTTAATTACACACAACCTATATTTTTATTTTATTGTATTGTTTTTTTTTTTTTTTTTGGCCACGCCACGAGGCACGCGGGTTCTTAGTTCCCCAACCAGGGATTGAACCCTTGCCCTCGGCAGTGAAAGCGCAGAGTCCTAACCACAGGACCGCCAGGGAAGTCCCCAACTTTTAAACTTGAGTAATTCAGTAAAGAGCAGAGAAGAAACTACGATCATCCCTGTTCCCACCATCTCCAACTCACCACTTTCTGACATTATGAGTTACTTGCTTCCAATTTTATACACACGCACACTCACACAAATGTCTGTGAAAAACGACCCAGGTGGATGTGTGCGTGTGTGTTTATGGACATATGGGCAAAAATTTGAAGACATCTAAAGAACTTCTGTCAGCCTGTTGGTATCTCTCTGTGACTGTCTACCCAGCCTGCTCTGGGGGGAATGCCAGAGTCTACGTTTGAGGCCTTTGGGATTAAATCACCTGGGTCAGTGCCCTCCTGGCCCACCTGCCCCAGTGGAGCCCACGTGGTGAAATCGTCTGTTGAGTTTGAGGCATCACTCAAGGCGTTTCTGTGGATCCTGCAGGGGTTTTGTTGTCACCAGTTCGATATTCAGGCTGTCAGGCTGAGCCCCAGGCACAGAATGGTGCGGGACGGCACATGGGCATCAGGACATAACGTGGCCCACAGGGAGAATGACCCAGCGCCTCACACTTTCCAAATTCCCTTTTATCTGCTGCAGCAGTGGCGTCAAACCGGGGATACCTAAGATACAATTTCCTAGTGTTGTTTCATCCCTAGTGCATCACATCTTTTTAAAAAATACAGTATCTTTCTCCACCCTTAAACTCATCACAGAAAATCCAGAAACAGTAAAATAATGCAAAGAGAAAAAAAAGTCAGCTGAACCCACCCCCCAAGAGGCCGTGGTATACCACGCTGACCTGCTCCCCCCAGGCTTTTTCTGTTCGAAGAGACTTTCACTTTTGAAGTTTTTGGTCCACACATCCCTTGTCACGCTCTGGTTTTGCCTTGCAACGGCCTGTGGTTTTGCAAACCTGTACCAAGCTTCCAGTGGAGGGAAAGAAAATGGTGTTCCATGGAGAGCTAGGGCTTTCGTTCTCACGCTCTAGCTGCTGTAGGTGGTCGATCGCCCACGCTTTCCCCTTCTGGTTCCCAGCTGCCGCTTCTGTCATTAACCTCACATGACACTCTGACTCGTCCCCAGACCACGCTTCATGCTGATGGAGGGTTATGTCTGCAAAGCACCAGCAATCTACTCTGCTTAAGTTAACAGATAAAAAAATTACCATATAGGGAATTTCTTTTTTTTTTTTTTTGCTGGCCACGCCCTGCGGCATGCAGGATCTTAGTTCTTGGACCAGGGATTGAACCCATGCCCCCTGCATTGGGAGCGCAGAGTCTTAACCACTGGACTGCCAGGGGAGTCCCCAACATAGAGAATGTCTGTAGAAAGATACAGAGATGCTCACAGAATAGGAGGAAAAGGTCAGCAGTCAGGGCTTATGGGGCATGTGAAGCAGAGCAGGTGTGGGGATCAGAGTGGCAGAAACTAACTGGCATTTCTTCTGGACGCTTCTCTCTGGATGAACCAAGGCCAACTATTTTTTGGAGTTGCCTTCCAGCTTCAGACTCTGAAGGGGGAGAGAGGGAGGCTTTCCCCAGCTTGGCCACTGCATGCAGGGGACAGAATGGCTGCCCCCCCCCAAAAAATATAGATGCTCTTTGATACCAAAAGAAAGGAGAATGGATGCTGACTAGGCAAGAGCAAAGGATGCCACCATTGTTTGGGAAGTTAATAAAAGCTATGATCCTGCTTCCCCCAGAATGCACATACCCACGGCACCCTCGAACATTCAGGGACATCGTGGGTGCCCCAAACCCCACCCCGCGGGTCTCCTGGTGAAGAGCTCCCACCTCCCCGACATTAACACTGTCTCTTCTCCCACCCCCTGCCCTCTCCCGTCTCCCCAGCACCTACAACTTCTCCGCTGATGGCTTCCACAGTTCGGCCCCGGGGGCCAACTTGTGCCTGGGCTCTGGCGTGCACGGCGGCGTGGACTGGATGAGGAAGCTGGCCTTCCGCTACCGGCGAGTGAAGGAGATGTACAACACCTACAAGAACAACGTCGGCGGTGAGTGGGTCGGGGAGAGGGTCGTCCACAGCGGTCAGAGGGTCTGCCTGTGCTCCGGGCGCAACCCCTGGACCAAGGGAAATTCATCAAGGATGGATGCTGTCACTCGCATCCCACCTGCCCTGTGCCAGGTACTGCTCCGAGAGGCTTATTATAAGTCCTAGCTCACTCAGCATCACCCTTGTGACGCCCTCTGGAAGAGGGCACTAAGATGTCCATATCCTCACTTTAGGGGGGCGGGGCGCGGCTGGGAAGCTGAGAACGAGATGGAGCATCTTGCCCATGATTACCCCCCCAGCCCCGCCGTGGTTCTCCACGTGTGGTCCTGGGACCAGCAGCATCACCTGGGGGCTCGCTGGAAATGCAGATTCTCTGGCCCCACCTCAGACCTGTCGCACCTGAAGCTCTGAGGTGGGCCCGGCGCTCTGTGGCTTAACTTGCCCTCCAGGTGATTCTGATGCTCACTGGAATTCGAGGGCCACCGGCTTCAGCCCTCACTACTCAGACGGGAGCAGCCACATGAGCATCACCTGGGAGCTTGTTAGAAGTGTAGACGCTCAGGCCCCTCCCCAGGTGACTGAGCCAGACCTGCGTTTTTAACAAGATCCCCAGGCGGTTTGTGGAAACACCGGTTCTCAGACTTGGCTCATATCGGAACCCCTTGAGGAGTTTCCAGTTCCTGGCCTGGCCGCTGCCTGGCATCAGGACCCACAGAGCTCCCTGGTGACTCTACTGTGTAGGCAAGGTGAAAGCCACCAGCTTCAGTGGCAGGAGAGCACTGGCTGCCACACTGAACGGAAGCCTGGAGGGGCTGAAGGCAGGGTTGGCTCCGTAGTGACCAGGCCCGCGATCGCTGTTTCTGGAATTCTCTAGGCCGCTGACTCTTAACAGGTGATGCCACCTCCTCCCCACCCAGGAGGCATCTGGGGATGTTTCTCATTATCACAAGGTCTCTAACCCGCTCCTGGCCAGTCAAGGGAAGAGGTTTGAGTAGGCAGCTACTCGACTCCATTGACTGATCCAGTCAATCTCAAAATAAAATTAAGGTCACTGGATTGAAGTTGACCTTGGGTGTCATCTGATCTGAAACCTAGACTCACCTTCCCTAACCCTACTCCCCCCAGCCCTTTGAAATGACAGCAACGATGATTTTTATTTGCTTTGTCCGTAGGCTTGATAGGAGCTCCCAAAAGAGAGACATGGCTACAGCTCAGAGCCGAGCTGGAAGCTCTGACGGACCTCTGGCTGACCCACTCCCTGAAGGCACTGAACCTCATCAATTCCCGGTAGGTGGGAGCCCCCGTTTTCCTTTGCGCCACTGAACTTTCTCCCATTCAAGGGTGGTAGCCCCTCCATTTCCACACTTGGGAGAATTGGACCCCCAAATTCTCCCCTGCACACCTTCCAGACATTTGATAAAGCTGGGGTGTACAAGGCACCATGGACACCTTGTCCCTCAGATGTGCAGGTAGTTGCAGAGACTGATCGGGGGCCAGCAGAGCTAAAGACCTTTGTACGTAGGTCTGTCGTCCCAACCGCTCTTGCCCACAACACCCTCCAGCCACAACATCACCCTGTGAAAACCATTTTATAGGATCACACAGATCATCTGGCGGGCTCTTAGTGAGGTCAGGAGGGCCCAGTTTCATTCTAGACCTCCCACTAAATTGCCTCTTGCTCTTAAATAAGATCACCTGGGCCAGAGAACAAATTACTCCCCTGCAGCATCAGGATTCTTGTGACCCAACAGATGAATGGTCACAAAATGGCAGCTCATGAACTGAATCCATCCCGCTGATGTGTTTTGTTTGATACACACTTTATCCCAAAGAAAGACTGGGAAAGTTAATCCATAGCTGCAGGTTTCGAGGATCTTGGAAAACGTCAGAACTGGCATGTGCTCTGCAGTTTACCCCAGTCCTCACCTCTCCCTGTTGTCCTACACTTGTTCCATGTCACTCATGCACATTGCCAATAGGTCCCTGCAGCTACTTTAGTGTGTGGCCCTTGCAGTAAATTTAAAAAAATATTTTTGGCTGCGTTGGGTCTTCGTTGCTGTGCACGGGCTTTCTCTAATTGTGGTGAGCGGGGGCCACTCTTTGATGTGGTGTGCGGGCTTCTTGTTGTGATGGCTTCTCTTGTTGCAGAGCACAGGCTCAGTAGTTGTGGCGCATGGGCTTAGTTGCTCCGTGGCATGTGGGATCCTCCTGGACCAGGGCTCGAACCCATGGCCCCTGCATTGGCAGGCGGATTCTTAACCACTGAGCCATCAGGGAAGCCCAACATTTTTTTTTTAAGTTTTTATTGAATTTGTTACAATATTGCTTCTGTTTTACTTTTTTTTGGTTTTTCGGCCACGAGGCATGTGGGGTCTTACCTCCCTGACCAGGGATCGATCCCGCACCCCCTGCACTGGAAGGCGGATTCTTAACCACTGGACCTCCAGGGAAGTCCCTAACATTTGCTTTTTAAATAGGAAAACTATTACACTTGTGTTAGATTTCAATGTGTCAGGCAGCTTCAGGCTTAAAAGAGAGGAATAGCTGGAGGATCCTTGAGCTCTAGCCTCAGCTGAAGACGACTTAGCCAGAGCCCTCCAAACCCCACCAGAATTCCCACCGACTCCAGGCTCAGCTGCAGGGGTAGGAGGCCTGGCCTTGTGGTACCTTGGAGTTCTGACTCACCATCTCCTTTGCCCTCAGGCCCAATTGTGTCAACGTGCTGGTCACCACCACTCAACTAATTCCTGCCCTGGCCAAAGTCCTGCTGTACGGACTGGGCTCCGTGTTTCCTATTGAGAACATCTACAGTGCAACCAAGACAGGTAGGGGAGCCCAGACCTCAGAGTGGTACGGGGAGGGAGGGTAAGGTCAGCTTTGCCTGCCAGGTTTGGAAAGTTTAAGGAAAACGACACTAGGGAAGTTAAAGAGCTTGTCCATGGGCATGGACAAATCTCCCCCCAAACAACCCTCACAGACCCAAAGAAAACAAGAATGCCAATTTCTCTGCTTCTAGAGAAATTGGTTAGGATTGCAGTTTTCCAAAGTGTGTGTATTAGTTAGGACAGCTGCAAAGCTGCTGTAGCACACACACCCCACATACAAGGGCTTAATTACATCAGGGCCAAAGCTTATTTCTCCCTCAGATGTCAAGAGACCAGAGGTGAGTGATCCAGGCTGATGGGGTGACTCTGTCCTCATACTCACCCAGGAAGCCAGGTTCTTCCCATTTTAGTTTTCCACCATCCCCTATAACTTTATCCTCATGTACGTGGTCAAATCAGATTCTGCCATATTGTCATTCCAGCTTATGAGAAGGGGGAAAACAGGAAGGAGTAATGGGCGTCCATTATTGTAAAGCCAAGACTCAGAGGTGCATGTTACTTCTACTCACTTCCTATTAACCCAGCTTAGTCACATGGCCACAACTAATTGCAAGGGAAGCTGGGAAATGTAGTCCATAGCTAAGTGACTGTGAGCCCAGGTAAAACTCATGAAAGTCCATTACTAAGGAAGCAGAGGAAGACAGTTCCCCCCTCCCCCCCGCCCCAGGATGGAACATGAGGTGGTTTTAATTTAACTAATTTTAATTAGTTAATTATGGCCATTAACTAACCTAACCTTGAACCACACAGATAACTATTGTTTTTTTAATGCTCTTTCAAAGATATGGTCTCAATTTAGTGTTACCTTGCTTTAACACCTCTTGAATACTTGCTGGTCTCCTTTATTAACAAAGAAAACAAGCCTTAGGCTTAGAACTTTCATCAGATAAGAGAATTCAAAATAACTACAAATTAACAGCATCATTTGTCATCAGGGCAAGTAATACTGATTTTTCTCGTGGGAGAGGAGGCTAATTTTTTTTTTTTCTTGTATCACCTAAACATGTATAGTAATACAAAGCCTAGTTGTTTTTAATTAGAAATGTTTACCTGGTTTTTCTTCTGGAGCAAGAACAAATGTATGTACTTTGGAAGCATTTTCTTAGAGCAGTTTTTGCCTTTACTGAAGTTCTAGACCAGAGATACTGCTAAACAAACATCCTTCAGTGCTCAGGGCAGCAAAGAATTTAGCCAGCCCAAAATGTCAGTAACACTGAGGCTAAGAAATCCTGCTGGGGCGGTGAAGCACCGAGCCTGCGCTGTGCCGGCATCTGCTGAGTGACAGCTGTTCTGTTTAGGGCTCTTCTCATTATCATGATGGTCACTAAACTTGCTGAAACAGGATGAGCTAAGACCTGAATTTAGTGTTCCTGGATTGATGCTGCTGCCCAGCCACTGGGAAGAAGGAAAATACGAAAAGGTGGTCATCTACAGGGAGCAAGAAAAAAACGAACAGCCGAGTCGCACGAGGGCCACTCTGTCGCCAGGCTGCCCACCCTCGGGACACGTGAATCCTGGCACCTCTGCTTCCTAAACTAACTCCGGGGATCCTGGGCCGATCATGTCCAGGGCACCTCTCAGAGCCTCATGGCCTTATCTGTATAGTGGGCCCATCACTCCTACACCGGACAGCCGCATAGACGCCAGGGCTTGTTTCAGACCCCTGCCCTGCCTCTCCTGCTGTGTCACCGTGGGCAAGCCACTTAACCTCTCTGTGCCTCTGCACTGTCGTCCATCACATGGGGATGGGGACAGTGACGCCTCGAAGTTTGCTTGAGGATGAAATGATTAATACCTGGTCCTTAAGGACACCTCTGTAAGAAGGCTGTACAAAGTGAACTCTTCATTAGCGGTTAGTAGTCACCTCAGTCCTGGGTCCTCACCGAGTGTCTTTCCTTCGTCCGTGTGTGCAGGGAAGGAGAGCTGCTTTGAGAGGATAATGCAGAGATTCGGCAGAAAAGCCGTCTACATCGTGATTGGCGATGGCGTGGAAGAGGAGCAGGGGGCGAAAAAGGTATATTCTCTCCGTCCGTCTCTCCGGCTGCTCTTTCCTCCTCTCTTGAGCCTGTCTCCTTCCCAGGCTCTTTGCTCGCCCGTCCCCTGCCATTTGGAAATCGCAGAAGCATCCTGAGTAATTGCCTGCAAATCCCCCTCCGGGCCTTTGGCTGCCACCCCGGTAGCCCTGCGTTGTTTCTGGGACAACTGCTCGGGAGCCCAGAGACCCTCCGTCAGGGCAGGCTGGCCGGGGGGCTGGTGCCTGTGTGCGTGTTTTATTTAATGCTTACTGATCGTATGTTCCAGGAACCCTTCCCAGTTAATAAAGACAGCATTAAGCTAATGAAAAAGAAAATCCTGCATTTGTGATCTCAGGCCCGTGAGGAGAGGGGCAGGGGGCTTCTGGTGGCCACAGCTCTGTTCTTGGAAAGAAACAGCTGCCAAAGCCCTGGATCTGGACCTGTCAACCGCATCCCAGAGAGCCTGCCACGCCCCACCCGGAGAGGCCTGGGAAGTAGATGGTTAATGTCACAGCGTAATTTGGTTTCCCCCTTCCCGCCCCAGAAACAGATTCAAAAGAAATGCAAAAATGTTTAGGGGTCTCAGCGGATGGAACTCATGAGAAGACGGAGGGCCCCGAGAGAGGGGTGCTTAGAAGGCTTTGCAGCTACTGTTCCATCCACCTGGAAGGCTCCTCCGCTTTCCCGGCTCTCCCGGACTCATCCTTTCAGCCTCAGCAACACTTGCAGAGGGAAGAATTCTCACCAGCTCCCACCCCAGCTCGGTCAGGCCTGCCTGCGACTCCCTCCCCCAGCTGTCCCTAGTCCTTCTCCAGGGCATTATCCCCTCCTGTCATGAAGGAATTACCTGTGTGCTTGGTGGTTTAATCACCGACTCTCCAGCTGGTGTGTAGGCTCCATTAGCTGAGCACCTACTGTGTGCCAGCTACTGTTGCAGGCGCTGGGTGTCCTGCAGTGAGCAGAACATACAGGGCTCTCACCCCTCCCTCAGCTCACAGCCTGGGGACGAGCAATCGACCCCTAAGTGTAACATGCGTGTCAGCCGATGACCAGAGCTTTGGCGAAAACGGGAGGAGGAGAGCGAGTGAGCCAAGTGAGTATCAGAGGGTGGGAGTGCGCGGAGAGGAACCAAGAAGTTGAGAGGTCGGAAGGCTGGGGCGTCCTGCAGAGAGCTGGCGTGGCTGCTGGCTGCGCGATGCACCAGGCGAGTGGGGAGGGGCAGGAGGTGCAGTCAGGGAGGTGCCTGGGGCCTTCGGAGGGACTTCAGCCTTTACCCTGAGCACTTCTTTTTAAAGCATATTTCTTAAACTTTAAAAATGAACTGATTCAGAGGAAAAAATATTAAGTAAATAATAGGGGTGATACACCAGGACATGACCAAAACAGTAGCGCGAATCATCACGTGAATCCAGGACCAAGGTGCCAGGTCAAGAGCATGGTCTCTGGTGAGACTACTTGAAGCCCACTGCCGGGATGGAAGGGGGATTCTAGAGCCCCTCCTTCCAAGTTCAGATCTAATAGAAAAAACCCTCTGCCCTAAGCATGTGACAGCGATCAAAATCAACTTTGCTTCTATCAAAGTTGGGTTGAGAACCCACTTAGGCCCATGGCCGCGGGCACCCCCCCCTACATGCCCCACTCCGGTTCTCACCTGGAGAATGACAGGGACATCCGGAGCAGTGGCTGCCGTTCACCCACCTTCTCACCAAAGGACGTTTCTTAGGGCGGCGTAATGACCGTTCACTCTCCTGAAATGAAATGCTAATGGATAATAAAACCTCCTTATAACCGTAATGTCCAGGAGGTCAACATCTGATGATACATCAAAGAGAAACAAGGGAAAGTCATTTATACTCAGAGTAACGTGTGCTTCAGTATGTGAACACCTGAGCACAAGATCTCACACCCAAACGTACCATCACTGAGGATGTGAGCCGACACACACAGGGGGACACAGGTGTGCGGTCTTGGCCATTCACAAAGCCAGCGAGGTGCCGCGGCTGTCACGTGACTGCTCCAGACTGCGAAGCAACCCATGGAAAGGCTCTGAATAAAATAGACTTCCCCAGTTGACACGGTAATTGCAGCCCTGGGTTTTATTGCAGTCGGGTTTTATTAAAAGCATGAGAGAAATGCTCTATTTATATGTGACGAGTAAAGTGGAGTTAAGGGTCTACACTCAGGTTATTAAGAACGGGTTTGTGCTTACTTAAATATCTGGCAGGACATCTGAAAGTCATTCAGGTGGAAGGTGTGTGGGATGAGGCAGGAGACCTGCCCCCACCTGCAGTGCCCCCAAATCAGGACGACAGTCAAAAATCACACCCCTAGAAATTGCCAAGTCACCCCTAATGGGCAGGCTTCTCCTTTGAGACCTGCTGGTCTGGGGTCGCCCTCGCCTAGGGGGCCAGGAGGAGGGGGAGCTGATGGAGGTGCCTCCTTAAGTTCTGTGTCCCGGGCGCCTCCCTCACCTCACCCTACAGCCACCCTGCTTTCACAGAAACAGGTGACCAGGGGAGCGCATTTTGCTCTAAATCCTAGTTCTGCCATTGTTGGCTGTGTGGCCTTCAGCAGATGGCAACGCTCTCTGAGCTGCCTTTTTAATCTGTCACACTTGCCGAGAACAGGCGCACGGAGCTGCCTTTTTAATCTGTCACACTTGCCGAGAACAGGTGCACGGGGCCCAGCAGAGAAACCGTGCATAGTTAGCCCTCAATAGCCTGAAGCTGTGTGATTACTACTCCCCAGGGCCAGGGGAGGGGAGAAGGCTAAATCCACCTTCAGAAATTCAGGGGTTCTCTCTCCTGGGGAGCCAGCAGAAAAAGAAAACAAGAATGCCAGTTTTCACATAACATGAAAACTCACCGAAATCTCGTTTGCTCAAAGCCCACAGGAGAAGCACCCGGCTGAGGATGTGGATGGGGTGGGCTCCAGCGGGGCCAGGGCTGCCCAGGTTCTGTGGAGTTTGCATTGCCAGAGATGCCAGACAGCAGCTTAAACAGTGGAGCGCTTTCTTCGTCTCTCATTAGCTGCCCAGACAGCTGGGACAGCACCAGGGACCCGGGCCCCTTCTGTCTTGTTGCTCTGCCAGTCCCAGTACTGCTCTTTCCACAAAGTCCAAGACGGCTCCTCACCACGCCCACGTCTGCACTCCAGCCACCAGGAAGAAAAAGGGGAAGGACTCCTCGTCCCTTTAAGAGCACAGCTGTTATAGGTCAACATCACTGCTTCTCAGACCCCATTGGCCAGATTAGAGTCACATGATCTCACCTTGCCACAAAGGTAGCTGGGAGATGTACCCTTTATTCTCAGCCACCAAGTTCCTAGCAAAAGAAAAAAAAAAAAAAAGCGTTTTCTGAGAGAAAGGGAAGAAAGGATGTTGGGAGCCACCTGGCAGTCTCCATCCCAGCTGGCATGTGGCAGGGCAGTAACTGGCACCCTACTTAACCCCGGGCCTTAATCACTACTCTTTATTACCGACATCATCATTTTATTTAATCCTCCAACCCCCTCCCCCTGCGAAGTGGGTACCATTCCACTTCATTTTATACGGAACATGTTTGAGACTCAGGTTATTTACCTAAGGTCACACAGCTGGTACGTGAAAACTGCTGTGTGTTTTGTTCCAAACGCCTGGCAGGAAGGAGGTGGACCCAGGAGTTTCAAACACCGTCAGTCTGCACCCCTGACCTGGTCAGAAGAGAGTGGAGTCCACCAAAGACGACTGGGACACACGCCCCATGCACCAAGCTCCCCTAAAACCCCCGCAGTGTCCGAAGCAGCAGCCCCAGCCCATTAGTGAGAAACCCTGTGCACCAGCCGCTCTCCCGGCCTGATGGATGGGACTCATTAGCCCAGGCCGCTGGACACCTGAGCAGCCTGAAATACGGCGACAGGACGCGGGGCTTCAACTGTTTAAGCTGACCGTGTTGTTAATATCTCCATTTCAGTGGGTCATTTGTCTCCCCCTCTCCACAAGTGATAAATCTACCTATGCTCTGGAGCCACCAGGCCTGGGAGGGAGATGGCTGAGATAGTCTCTTCCCCTTTGCTCATTTCCTCCCAGAGAAAATGAATTACACTCTTTAAAGAGGGACTGGATCGGCCAGGTGGCAACCAGCATCCATCTTTGCAGAGAATGAAAGGCTTGGCCGGGGTGAGGGGAGGGTGGGGAAGCTGAAAGGCATTAAAGAGATGGCATCTGTTGCCCGTGTCGGATAGTCTTCTGCTTCCTCCGGGCAAAAGAGAAAAAGGTGTGTCCATTGAGGGCTTTGCTTGAGAAACTCACCTTCCCGCCTTTCCTCCCTCCCTTCCTCTTTTCATTCCTTCCACGAATATTTATTAAGCGCCCACTGTGTGCCAGGAGCCATGCAAGGCAGCAGTGAATATGACATTTCAAGCTCAAACCCTCCTCAGGGCCTTTGCACTTGCTGTCTTCTACCTCAACTACCTCCCCACACGTTTGCATGGCTCCCTCCTTCGTGTTCTCTGGGTCCTGCTTAAATGTTAGCCCCCTAGAGAGGCCTTCCCTGACCCAACTATCAAAAGTGCAGAGCCCCCAGAGGCAGGAAAGGGTCGTTGTGCTCCTGGAACCAAAAGGACACCTGTATAGTTTCTACCCTGTGGGCACTGAACCTCAAGGGGCAGCAGAACGACCACAAGAACTTGGGGCAGCCATATGTTCATCAAGCACCCTCTGTTCACTCAGTAAATAATTGAAGGTCAGTGACTGTCTTGAGGAGGCTCAGTATCTTGTAGCTGCAGGTAGCAGAAAACCTATGTAATGAAGACTTAAACACTTGCTCACCTAACAAGATTAGAAGTAGGAACTAACACAATATTGTAAAACAACTATACTCCAATTTAAAAACAAAAGATTACAAGTAGGCGTATCCTAGGTTGTTTCCGTGGGTCTGAAAATTCACCAAGCATCCCTTTCCATCATTTTGCTCTACCTTTCTAACCATCTTTGGCATTTTCTTTTCTGATATTTTGCCTCATGATCCCAAAACAGCTGCCACGGCCCCAGACATCACATACTTATATGTCAGCATCCAAACAAAAAAGGCAAGTAAGGAGGAGGGGGTTCTCCTCAGGTGCCTCTCTCTCTAATCATGGAGGAAAACCTTTCCCAGAAGCCCCCAGCCAACTTCCTCATTGGCTTCAGCGGGTCACAAGTCAGAAGGGTACAGGACGAACCCCTGGTAAACAAGGCTGGGGTTGTCATCGCTTGCTTAGACAATCATAACTCATCCCCTACCTCTCGGGCACGGTGCTGCCAAATTCAGGGTTCTGGAAGTAGGAAGAAGGGAGGATGGCTGTTGGACAGGCAACAACTTTAGTCAACGGTCACATTTTCCTGTGATAAACAGGTGGTCAAGTTTTCTCTCTGGAGTCAGACAGACCTCTCTGTGCCTCAGTCTCCTCATCTGTAATAGAAGAAACACAGTATACAGAAGTATTATCCCCATTTTACAGACAAGCACCAAAGTAAATTATTTAAGATCACCCAGCTAATGGTGGCAGAACAGAGCTTTGCAAAGGGCACTGAAACATTTAACCCTCACGCTATGGAAGTATCAATATTTTGCAAATTTTTCTCTCCACATGCGTGATTTCTTTCCATAATCAGCATAACACTTCTTTTATACCAATTACAACTTTTGCTGTATCTGCATGCTGCCTGTACGGTTACCTACTTAATGTTTCCCTTTCAGTGGATGCACTTATGTTTAAAATTGAAAACTTGATAGCATGACAATAACACAGAGCATGCATCACCTGCTGTAAAGAAACGGAAAAGATAAAAAAGACTCTCTGGGACCAGCCCTATCTGTTCAAATGGAGATTAGTGAGAGTCAGGGAGGGGTTGAAGACACAGTAGCATCTAGTCGAGATTTTCTATCTTTAGTAGCAGGATTGAGAACACATTTTTAAAAGGGAATAGCTTTCTCGCTGTGTGATTTAATTCCATGTCAGCATGCCGCCTAAGACCACGCTGGTCCCAACAGAGGAGGGAGGGTCAAACAGTCCACATGTCGGACAGTGCAGGATAAGCCAATCAGGATAGGCTCAGGCGGGGTGGGGGTGGGGGAATTGGGAGATTGGGATTGCCATATACACACTACTATGTATAAAATATCAATAGATAACTAATGAGAACCTACTGTACAGCACAGGGAACTCTACTCAATGCTCTGTGGTGACCTAAATGGGAAGGAAAAAGGGGGTTATACGTATACGTAGAGCTGATTCACTTTGCTGTACAGCAGAAACTAACACATTGTAAAGCAACTGTACCTCAATCAAAATTAATTTAAAATAAGTAAATAATTTTTTAAAAAAAACAAAACAGAAGGAATAGAAAGCATGCCTGACCACATAAGGGTCCACCAACGATGTTCTGTGCTCCCGGTTTGGAAAATGCCCACATGCTACAGTGACTCAGTGTGATTTCTCCTAAGGTTCTAAGCATGGGCGTGGGATCCAGGGGGGCTGTGGGAAGCACCGCGCAGAGCCGTAACCGTGTGGCTGGTGTTCTGTGTTCCAGCACAACATGCCTTTCTGGCGGATATCCTGCCACGCGGACTTGGAGGCGCTGAGGCACGCCCTGGAGCTGGAGTATTTATAGCAGAACCCGCAGCCTCGCCACCTGCCATCAGAGAGGCAGCCCACCCGCCCAGGCCCTCGGTTTTCCCCACCTCCCCTGCCAGATGCTAGACACCAGGCAGGGTCCCTCCCGCCAAGAGGACGTGTCCGGTGACCATCTCAGAAGCCGTCCTTTCAGTCCCAACGCGGGTCCAGAGAAACAAAGTACCCAGCAGTGGCTTTGGAATATTTAACTTTGGGGAAAAGGGCTGGCTCAGAGTCCAAACTTTTCTGCAAGACTCACAAGCAAGGAATTCCTGATTTGGGGGAGGGCTGGTGATGAGGAGGGGACAGGCTCTTTTTTTTTTCTCCACTTTAATTTATGGACTAATCTCATTACTCTGGTATTACGCTCTTGTACCTGTGTTGTTGGTTTTTGTTTTCTCAGCTGGCATGTGGGGCAGTGCACAGCTCTAATTTAAGCCTCTCTGCTCTGAGTTGTGCTTCGAGGGGACGATCGTTCTTTGAACAGAGGGAGGCGATTTGGGGCTGTGGGGAAGACTATTGCTTATTTTTGTTTTTAAGGACGTAACCTGATGTCGTGTGGACAGTGCACGTGCCTTATGCTGCCATCTTGTTTTCTAGGAAGAGGGGACCCTGGGGAGGAGGCAGTACTTTGTGACGGAAAAAGGCATTAAATAAAACCACGTTTACATTTTGAAGTGGGGTAGAGTGTCACTACTTTATTACTGCTTTTGAGGCTTCTGAATTTGTTGGTGTTTTCCAAAACCTTTTCAGTTACGGAAGTATAAAATCCGACTCAAACTGCCTTAAGCCAAAGAAAAAAGAAAATCGTCTCCAGGAACTTTGGGTAATAACTGTCTTCAGCCATAGCTGGATCCAGGTGATCAAGTGACTTTCTCCTGTGTGGTTTTATTTCTCGGGCAGGCTCTTCCCTGTGTGGCAAAGACAGCTCCAAGAATCTTTCGGCAAAACCATACCAGCAGAAAAGAGAGCACTTTCTGCACAGGGGTTCTAGCAAAAGCCCCAAGATGGTGTCAAACGTGAGTCATGAGCTGCCCATGGAGCTGGATAGGGTTCAATCTCTCATGAGCAGAAAGCTGGGGAGAGCTTGTCCCCCAAAGGAGGAATCAGCGAGCTACTACTAAAAGAACTGGGGAAAATGGGGGTTGGGATGGAAACTAGAACTGACCTCCATGCCATTGGTAGGACTTTATTTTCCAGCGGATGAGCCAAGGATCCAATGTAGGGAACAGGGAGGGACATCTGGAGAAGTTCCAAGGACATCTTGAGTTCTGTTGGTGCCCACAGAGTTCCAAGCAGGGCCTCGATCCATTTGATTGGATGCTAAGCATAACTACAGGCTTCTCCCTCTATTCATGTTGGTGAAATCCAGGGTCACCAACTGGCTGGCATCCATGTCAGTGGAGATGGGAGATGACTTGATGGATGATGACAGGAGTCTCAGAGCTAGAATCTGATAGACGGAAAGTCATCACCAAGGATGAGACAGACTCCCTGGCTAGGCTCTGAGCTCCCTGGGGGCAGGTGCTGTTGGTTTCACCTCTGTATTCCCCCAAATCAAGCACGAGTGTCATCCTTGGAATCAATCTACAGAGTGGATACTGACATAAATTGGAATCCCATTATAGATGACGAGGAAGGAAGGATGACAGTATAATTGGAATCATAGTTAGGTAACTGGGTGAATAGATGTCTAAACGGGTGGGTGGATGGACGGTTGGTTAGGTGACTGGGTGCCTGAGTGATTTGAAGGTGGATGTTGAGCGAGGTGGTTGCAGAACGGATGAATAATGGATGGATAATTGTTGGGATGACTAGATGGATAGCTATGTAGATTATGAGTGGATGGATGACAATTGAAGACTGAATGGTTGTATGGTGAGATGAATGGATAGATAGCTGTTTGGATGAGTGAACGGTTGCATGGCTTTATGGAAAGATGTATAGATGGTTAAGAGGGTGAGTGAGTGGCTAAATGAATGGATGGATGTTTGAATGAGCAGTTGGATGGAACGATTGACGGTTGATGGGTGATTGACGGTAATGCTGTGATGGCTGGATATGGTGCAACAGTTAAATGGATGGATGGTTAAATGGAGGTAAAGAATCCCTAGAGTTAGTTGCCTAGAACATGTGGGTCAGCCTCACTATTACTTGCCTACTTAGATTTTCTGTAATGAGTGGAGGAGTTTTACTGGATGAACTGACTTCTGGCTGGAGTAGAGAAAGGGACTGGAGCAGAACCTCCCAGGGAGTCAGCCATGTGAACGCTCCCGGATCCTCCCTGTCTCCCCATTGTTTGGTACCCCTGCCACTCAGGCACCCACTTGTAATCACGTGCTATCCAGGCCTCCCTTTCCGCCACCATCAAAACCTCCTGTCAGAAAAAATTCTGTTTAGGGAGATTGGTTCAAGATGGCGGAGTAGAAGGACGTGCTCTCACACCCTCCTACGAGAGCACCAGAATCACAACTAACTGCTGGACAAGCATCGACAGGAAGACACTGGAGCTCACCAAAAAGATACCCCACGTCCAAAGACAAAGGAGAAGCCACAATGAGATGGTAGGAGGGGCGCAATCACAATAAAACCAAATCCCATAACTGCTGGGTGGGTGACTCTCAAACTGGAGAACACTTATACCACAGAAGTCCATCCACTGGAGTGAAGGTTCTGAGCCCCACGTCAGGCTTCCCAACCTGGGGGTCCGGCAATGGGAGGAGGAATTCCTAGAGAATCAGACTTTGAAGGCTAGCGGGATTTGATTGCAGGACTTCAACAGGACTGGGGGAAACAGAGACTCCACTCTTGGAGGGCACACACAAAGTAGTGTGCGCATCGGGACCCAGGGGAAGGAGCAGTGATCCCATAGGAGACTGAACCAGACCTACCTGCTAGTGTTGGAGAGTCTCCTGCAGAGGCAGGAGGTGGCTGTGTCTCACCATGAGGACAAGGACACTAGCAGCAGAAGTTCTGGTAATAATCCTTGCCATGAGCCCTCCCAGAGTCCACCATCAGCCCCACCAAAGAGCCCAGGTAGGCTCCAGTGCTGGGTCGCCTCAGGCCAAACAACCAACAGGGAGGGGACCCAGCCCCACCCATCTGCAGACAAGCGGATTAAAGTTTTACTGAGCCCTGCCCACCAGAGCAAGAGCCAGCTCTACCCACCACCAGTCCCTCCCATCAGGAAACTTGCACAAGCCTCTTAGATAGCCTCATCCACCAGAGGACAGACAACAGAAGCAAGAAGAACTACAACCCTGCAGCCTGTGGAACAAAAGCCACATTCACAGAAAGATAGACAAGATGAAAAGGCACAGGGCTATGTACCAGATGAAGGAACAAGATAAAACCACAGAAAAACCACCAAACGAAGTGGAAATAGGCAACCTTCCAGAAAAAGAATTCAGAATAATGACAGTGAAGATGATCCAGGACCTCGGAAAAAGAATGGAGGCAAAGATTGAGAAAGATTGAGAAGATGCAAGACCTAGAAGAATTAAAGAACAAACAAACAGAGATGAACAATACAATAACTGAAATGAAAAATACACTAGAAGGAATCAATAGCAGAATAACTGAGGCAGAAGAACGGATAAGTGACCCAGAAGACAGAATGGTGGAATTCACTGCTGTGGAACAGGATAAAGAAAAAAGAAGGAAAAGAAACGAAGACAGCCTAAGAGACCTCTGGGACAACATTAAACGTAACAACATTCACATCATAGGGGCCCCAGAAGGAGAAGAGAGAGAGAAAGGACCAGAGAAAATATTTGAAGAGATTATAGTCGAAAACTTCCCAAACATGGGAAAGGAAACAGCCACCCAAGTCCAGGAAGCGCAGAGAGTCCCATACAGGATAAGCACAAAGAAACACACCAAGACACATAGTAATCAAATGGGCAAAAATTAAAGACAAAGAAAAATTACTGAAAGCAGCAAGGGAAAAACGACAAATAACATACAAGGGAGCTCCCATAAGGTTAACAGCTGATTTCTCAGCAGAAACTCTACAAGCCAGAAGGGAGTGGCATGACATATTTAAAGCGATGAAAGGGAAGAACCTACAACCAAGATTACTCTATCCTGCAAGGATCTCATTCAGATTCGATGGAGAAATCAAAAGCTTTACAGACAAGCAAAACTTAAGAGAATTCAGCACCACCAAACCAGCTCTACAACAAATGCTAAAGGAACTTCTCTAAGTGGGAAACACAAGAGAAGGACCTATAAAAACATACCCAAAACAATTAAGAAAATGGTAATAGGAACATACACATCAATAATTACCTTAAACATGAATGGATTAAATGCTCCAACCAAAAGACACAGGCTCGCTGAATGGATACAAAAACAAGATCCATATATATGCTGTCTACAAGAGACCCACTTCAGACCTAGGGACACATACAGACTGAAAGTGAGGGGATGGAAAAAGATATTCCAAGCAAATGGAAATCAAAAGAAAGCTGGAGGAGCAATATTCATATCAGATAAAATAGATTTTAAAATAAAGAATGTTACAAGAGAAATGGAAGGACACTACATAATGATCATGGGATCAATCCAAAAAGAAGATTTATAAATATATATGCTCCCAACAAAGGAGCACCTCAATACATAAGGCAATTGCTAACAGCTATAAAAGAGGAAATCGACAGTAACACAATAATAGTGGGGGACTTTAACACCTCACTTACACCAATGGACAGATCATCCAGACAGAAAATTACTAAGGAAACACAAGCTTTAAATGACCCAATAGGGCTTCCCTGGTGGCACAGTGGTTGAGAGTCTGCCTGCCGATGCAGGGGACACGGGTTCGTGCCCCGGTCCGGGAAGATCCCACATGCCGCGGAGTGGCTGGGCCCGTGAGCCATGGCCACTGAGCCTGCGCGTCCGGAGCCTGTGCTCCACAACGGGAGGGGCCACGACAGTGAGAGGCCCGCGTACCGCACACACAAAAAAAAGACACAAATACAATCAAAGGAGCTTAAAAAACAGAAGTCTTTGGCTTACTTGACTGAAAGGTTCAGGAATGTGTGATCTCAGACCCCATCACCACCACCACCCCAAATGCAGAATTCAAGATGTGTTTAAATTTTTTTTAATTTGGTCTCTTTCTCTCTATCCCTGGATTCTGTTTCCTCTAATTTGGCTTCATTTGTAGGCAATAATCCATATGCTTGGAATAGAAGCTGTGGCAGGAATGATTCAACAAAGATTTCCAATGATAAAGTATTGCTTAATTCTTAAAAGGATAACTTTAGGAAAGATAGGTTAAATTTATTATGTGAGTTTAAAATGTCCTTATGGTTTAAATATTTTGAGTTGGTTCCTCCTTAGTTACTTACAGCCAAAAGCATCTCAACTTATATAGCACATAGTAAATAATGTTATTAGTAAGTAGTAGTATTATATCACATGGGCTCATATTTCTACTTAGGAGATCAATCACTCATGTTACCAACTGGACCAGGCATTTTTTTCATCAGATATTCATTGAGCATCTACAAGGCACCAGCAGTGTCCCAGGCACAACAGACACAAATTTGAATAAGACATTGTCCTTGCAAAAAAAAATTTGATAAATTTGACCACCTTAAAGAAACATTATTAAAAAACATAAGTAGAGACAAAAGCCAAATTGAAATTCAAATCACAGACAAGAGCAAGAGTTAATCCCTGTAATATATAAAGAGCTCTTAGAAATAAATAGGCCAACAACCAAATAAAAAATTGTCAAAGGCCATGAACAGACATTTTATATATTTTTCAAAATATAACTGATTCTTAAACTTATAAAAAGATGCTCAACCTTACTCATAATAAGAGAAATGCGAATACATCGATACCATATTTTTCATCAGATTGACAAAATTTGAAAGTTTTATGACTCACAGTACTGGTGGAGCTGTGCGGCTTCATGCATTGCTTGTGGAAGCTGAACTTGGTACAAATCCTAAGGAGGGAAAGTTGGCAACGTTTATCCAATTTGTAAGTTTGACCCAGCAATTCCACTTCTGAGAATCTATCTACAGATATATTTACGTAAGTATGAAAATTCTGCACAGAGTTATTTTCTACAACACTGTTTCTAACAGCAAAGAATGAAAACAACCCAAATATCCATCAGTAGTGGACTGATTAAATGGAAATAGATATACATAATGGAATATTATGCAGCCATAAAAAAGAACAAGACCAGTCCCTATGGATCAATTTGGAAAGATCTAAACGTACCACTAAGTGAAGAACAATTGTAGAACCGTGTGTGTTGCATGCCACCTTTTGTGTAAAAAGGGAGAAAAAATAAGAAATATTTGCAAGCAACTTTGGAAGGATATATGGGACAACAAAACAGTGACCCTCAGGGGGCTATCAGACACATGGATGACAAGTGGGAGAGTGCCTTATTCATATATTGAACTTTGCGAATGGATTACCATAAGAACATCTTGAAGGTCAGGTGTCAATTCTGGAGACTTCTCTGTCAATAGCCCATTTCCCTTGGGGGCCTGTTTCTAGCCAGTTTCCCCCGAACGGCAACACTCACCCTTTCACTCTGTGCCTCATGGTGCTGGTGCAAAGGCTGAGGAAGACTGTTCTGGAAATCAGGCAACCTCGTTCTCACTCCATACCAGGAAGCCTCACCCCCACTGAGCCACCATTACCAAAAGCAGGGTCTCAGTGGTCCAAGTCAGGGACTCTACCATGTTTCCGGGCAGCTGTGCTACATCCATTCCTCTACTCTGCCGGGTGAAGCCCACTTACCAGGCGCTCTTCTCAGCTTCTGGAAGCAGAGGTGAAAACACACAGAAGCATCTCAACTCTCATGAACCCGAGGTCACAGGCTTGCTCTCCTGCCTGAGCCACAACCCAAGTTCCCTTCCAAGAGCCGCCCAGAGGTTGAGAGAGATGGGGCCATGGGACCCTCAGTGGGGAGGGGAAGATGGGCCTTGGAGGCCTAAGTCAGCCAACTTCAAAGGGGATCCTAAGAACATCCTTTCGAACGAGATCACAGTATCCATCCGGTGAAACATTCAGGGTCCACAACTGGCCCCTGGGCTCGTCCAGGGGTAAACACAGAGGGTCTTCTTCTTGAGTGAGATTTTGGCTTTCACAATACACAGCGGGCAGTGTTCTGTCACGGTGAGGGCTGCTTTCCTCCCCAGACACTGGCTGAGCCCAGAAAGAGAAACTGGGGTGTTGCGGTGCAATCGGAACCGCACGGGGGCACAATGGACAGTCTGGTCACCTCTGAGGAGGGGACACCTGAGCTCAGACCTGGATGATGAGAAAAGCCAGGGAAAGCATTCCAGGGAGAATTTCCAGGCAAGCAAAACTTCCGAGCTGGGCGGAAAGAAAGGTCGGAGTGGCTGGAGGACAAA